CCACAATTCGCTCGTTTTAGGCAGTTGGTGTCGTGCTTCCTCATGGAAAGGAAGCACAAAACAGTGAAACGTCTTGCGGAGTCTCGCCATAATGACCGTAGTTACGAGAAGGGTTTGGTAGAGGCAGTTGCTCTTGATGCAGTGTATCACCTGCAGCATCCTATATTTAAGTCAGACCTCGTGGAGCCGCATGCGGCATCAAAAAAAATGCGCGGCGCCTTGACTTCGGAATTTGGTATCAGCCCTGCAGCAACCATCTTGGCAAGTTCAAAAGCATTTGTCAACTTTAAACTCATCAGGGCTGCTGATGTGGTCGCATTCCAGAATGATGATGGGCTCATTCGATTTGGTGAAGTATGGTGCCACTGCAGCATCGATGGAGTCGTGGTCAGCTGCGTGAGCGAATGGGATCTTCAGTCGGTCCAGTTTCACGTTGCAAAATGTATCGTGCAAGATGCTCCGATTGTAGTGCCTACTTCCAGTCTGCTGGAGCCGACCGTGTTCTGGCCCGCAGAGGTCGGCAGCATATGTCAGGTCCTTTTGCCGCCGAAACTTCGGCACGTCCTATGCACAAAAATATGAAACATAGTGTTGCTGGCCGTGCTGTCTGGCGGACTTGTTTTAGTTGGCTTTGAGAAGCCCCTCGAATGCCCTCCCTAGGGGGCCCCTGGAGGAACCCTCAAAGGGCCCCATGGAACCCATAGAGCCGCTCTCCCCCAGGCCCCCAAAGGGCCCCTCGAAACAATCAATGTGCACGCCGATGCTTCAAACGTGTGCGTTTATGTGTTTTGTGTTGTTTATGTTTGTTTGTATGCGGCTTGTTTTCGAAAATACGTGGCCTTGTCATTTAAAATTTAGTAGATGTGTAAAGTTTTGTTATTGGTCGTATACAGGATAGCGGAGTTAGCGTATCCAGGATAGCGGACTTATCGTAACTAGATTAACCTAGTTAGCTAACCTACTAACACCTGGTTATGAGTACGTCTGTATCTCAAGTACTAACCTAAGTATATATTGTTGTAGTAACCTGCGTAAACAGAAGCTATGTACTCATATGTTCTGTAAGTGCGTATAAACACCGTCATCCATCCAAGTTGGGGCACTCCAGGACCGTCTTCGGGCCGTCTAGGCACCGTCTTGGGGCTTTCTTGGGCCGTGTTGGGGCGCTCTTGGGAACCTCTGGGAGCGCTCTGGCACGATCTGGGTGGGAGGCCCCTGAGGCCGTCTTGGGCGGCTGGAGGCGGAAAAGGCTGGGGATAACGATGGCGTCGGGCTCCAGCTTCGCCTCCCGCATCTCGCGGAGCAGCGCCAGAGCCCGCTGCCACTGCTTGCCCTTTCCACACGTGCTGATCCCGGCGCTGTAGCTGCTGCCGGGGGTGTCCAGCCTCGCCTCCCGCATCTCGCCCAGCAGCGCCAGAGCCCGCTGCCACTGTACGCCCTTGGTGCACGCATCGGTCTCAGCGACGTAGCTGATGACGTTGGGTTTCAGCTTCGCATCCCGCATCTCGCTCAGCAGTGCCAGCGCCCGCCGCCATTGCTCGCCCTTCTCGCACGCGATGGTCACAGCGTTGTAGCTGATGACGTCGGCCTCCAGCTCATTCTCCCGCATCTCGCTGAGCAGCGCAAGAGCCCGCTGCCACTGCTCGCCCTCGCACGCGCTGATCGCAGCGCTGTAGCTGATGACGTTGGCATCCAGCTTCGCCAGCCACATCTCGCTGAGCAGCCCCAGGGCCCGCTGCCATTGATCGCCAATCCCGCAAGCGCTCATCCCAGCGCTGTAGCTGATGGCGTCGGGCTCCAGCTTCGCCTCCCGCATCTCGCTGAGCAGCCCCAGGGCCCACTGCCACTGACCGCCTTTGCTGCACGCACCGATCCCGGCGTTGTAGCTAATGACGTTGGGCTCCAGCTTCGCCTCCTGCATCTCGCTCAGCAGCGCCAGAGCCCACTGCCACTGCCCGCTCTTCTCGCACTGCCACTGCTCGCCCTTCTCGCACGCGCTGATGCCACTGCTGTAGCTGATGGCGTCGGGTTCCAGCTTCGCCTCCCACATCTCGCTCAGCAGCGACAGAGCCCGCTGCCACAGCGCGCACTTTTCGCACGCGCTGATCCCGGCGTTGTAGCTGACGGCGCTGGGCTCCAGGTTCGCCTCCCGCATGTCGCTCAGCAGCGCCAGAGCCCGCTGCCACTGCTCGCAATTCCCGCACGCGCTGATCTCGGCGTTGTAGCTGATGACGTCTGGCTCAAGCTTCGCTTTCCGCACTTCGCTCAGCAGCGCAAGTGCCCGCTGCCACTGCTCGCAATTCCCGCACGCGCTGATCCCAGCGTTGTAGCTGATGACATTAGGCTCCAGCTTCGCCAGCCACATCTCGCTGAGCAGCGCAAGAGCTCGCTGCCACTGCTCGCCCTTCTCGCACGCGCTGATCACAGAGTTGTAGCTGACTTGGGCTGACCCGTGGACTACCGTCCACGAATGCCAGTATTGAGCGTGCGCTCGTTGCTGCATATTGCTTCAGGGTGCGCTGATTGCTTGATGATCCTGACGGCGTCTGGAGCAGCGCTAGCAGCAGCGGCAGCAGCAGCAGCAGCAGCAGCAGCAGCAGCAACAGCAGCAGCAGCAGCAGCAGCAGCAGCAGTAGCATCAGCAGCAGATCCAGCACCATCGGCAGTAGCAGCAGCAACAGTTGCAGCAGCCTCTCTAGCAACAACATAAGCAACGCGGACCTCCGGCGGGGGGCCCTCCGATTCCCAGGAGGGAGTCCTCGTGGGCCTCTGTGGGAGCCTCTGGAGAGCCTCTTGGAGCCTCTTGAGAGCTCGCGGGAACGCCTCATGAAGCCATCTGGGAGCCTCTGGAGAGCGTCCTGGGGCCTCTTGGGAGCGCCTCCGGGGCCTTCTGGGGGCCTCTCGCGAGGGCGTCTTGGAGCCTTGCTGGCCGTGGAGGGGCCCGGAGGGGGGGGGAAGCGCTCCGAACTGGACCCTCTTGAGGCCCTCTTGGGCGTCCCTTGGGGCCGTCTGGGGGGTTTCTTGGGCCGCATAAGGGGCCCCAGGAGCTCGATCGGCGGCCTCTGGGCGCCGTCTTGGGGACTCTCTTGGAGGCCCCCCGGGCAGCATGGGCCCGATTTCGGACGCCCGCGGTGCCGTGGTGGGCGTCTTGGGGCGGGCGGGAGGAGCACCACCGGAAACGTCAAAACCCCCGAGAATATCGATAGTTTTGCGGCCTCGGGGCCCTCGTGTGGGTCCCCTGGGAGCTCCGTGGAAGCTCGTGGGGGCCCTGCGAGCCCGTCCTGGGCCCTCTCGGGCTCGAAGGGGAGCTCCCGGGAGACTCTCGAGGCCTCCGTCGGGGCCTTCATGGGCCGTTCCGGGGCTGTCCCGGGCCGGGACGGCGGGGCTCCCAGGGCGCCGCCGCGGGTGACCATCGCTCCCCCCTCTTGCAGGCGCAAGTGCCCGGTGTTGTGGTGTAGATGACGTTGGGCTGCACCTTCGCCTCCCGCATCTCGCTGAGCAGCGCCAGAGCCCGCTGCCACTGCGCGGCCTTCTCGCACGCGCTGATCCCAGCGCTGTAGGTAACGACGTCGGCCTCAAGCTTCGCTTCCCACATCTCGCTGAGTAGAGCCAACGCCCGCTGCCACTGCGCGCTCTTATCGCACGTGCTAATCCCAGCGCTGTAACTGATGACGTCGGGCTCCAGATTCACTTCCCGCATCTCTCTGAGAAGCAGTACGGCCTTTTGCCACTGCGCGGCCTTCTCGCACGCGCTGATCCCAGAATTGTAAATAATGACGTCGGGCTCCAGCTTCGCCTCCCACATCTCGCTGAGTAGGGCCAGCGCTCGCTGCCACTGCGAGCCTTTGTCGCACGCGCTGATCCCAGCGCTGTAGCTGATGACGTCGAGCTCTATATTCGCCCCCCGCATCTCCTTGAGTAACAATAGGGCCTGTTGCCAATGCGCGGCCTTCTGACACGCGCTGATCCCAGCATTGTAGCTGACGACGTCGGGCTCCAGCTTCGCCTCCAACATCTCTCTGAACACCGACAGTGCCCTTTGCCATTGCCCGCCTCTTCCGCATGCGCTGACCGCCGCAGTGTAGTGCCCTGGGGAGAGTGTCGAACCTGACCGAAATCCTTCGCCAAGTAACTGCAATGCTGCGCTCCATTGTTTGCTCCGGGCACACTTGCTGATTGACCATTCGAGGGAAAGAGCGCTGTCTCGAGACCCTCGCCAGGAGACTAGCATCCAATATTATACATGTGGCACCATGGCGGTTTGACCCCATCATTGGTTGAGCCAAAAAACCGCTTGAGCCAAAATAGCTTGAGGCCTCTCGAGGTCTCCAGAGACCGCCTGGGGTCCCAAGAGATGGTCCGAGTGTCCCAGAGAGCAGGGGGGGGCCAGAGGCTTCCACGGGTTCGGGTGGAGCCCTCGCGTGTGAGAGAGAGAGGGAGAGAGAGAGAGAGAGGGAGAGAGAGAGAGGGAGAGAGAGAAGGAGAGGGAGAGGGAGAGGGAGAGGGAGAGAGAGAGAGAGAGAGAGAGGGAGAGGGAGAGGGAGAGGGAGAGGGAGAGGGAGAGAGAGAGAGAGAGAGAGAGAGAAACAGAAAAACAGTGTAAACATCAACTTTGGCCGGTTTTCGCGGATTTCTTGGATCTGCGCTGGACCCGACTCCCTGGCGCGCGGAATGCGCCGGGGGCGGTGCCGAGGGCGCCGCCAGAGGGGTCCCGGCGCAGATCCACGAAACCCGGCGGAGCGCCAAAAGCTTATGATTATGCCGTTGTTTGTTCTCCGATCGGGGAGACGTAAGACCCGGGTACGGGGGACTCGAAAATCCCCGACGAGGTCGTCAAAAAAATGACGAGGCCGAGCCTGCATTTTGACGAGGCCTCCCGCTGCAGACATCCCACGAAACTCCTCCTCGTCAAAATCCGAGTCGCGGTCGTCAAAAAACGATGGCGAACCCGAGTCCCGGCAAACCCGGGTCTTACGCTCCCCCGATCCGAGCGTGGGCGCCTCGTCCTCCTTCGACGCCTTGTGGAGCCGAAGGCTCGCGATGTCGGCGGCGTCCGTCTCCTCGAACCTCACGGCCTGCGGCGGGCGGCCGCGCGGCCCGTCGCCCCCCCTCGCGGAGGCCTCTCCGGGCACCGCTCGGAGCCTCGAAGCTTCGAGGCGCGGCGGTTCTCGGCGGCCATCCTGACTACCTACCAGACCACCCCAACCCAACCCGAAGACCCGAATTTCGGGTTGGGGGGGGTAAGGGCTCCACATGTGTTTTTTCAATGTTTCCCGACCCCCCCCCCCCCCCACTGGAAATGGAGGGTAAATCTGAGCCTTCGGGTTGGGTTGGGGTGGTTTGGTGGGTGGTGACTTCCAGCCTGGAGGTGCCCTCCAGCAGCTGCGCCCCGCCGAGGTCGAGGGGGCGAGAGGGGTGGATAGCAAAGGGTGGGATGGAGCATCGGCTCGCGTAGCTGATTGTCCCAGCGCCTCCCGCAGCTGGGAGGCGCCCGTGCATCGAGGTACAGGCCCGGCGGCGGGGCCGAAACCAGCTGCATGCACCAGATGTCGTACCCCCCCCCTTTCCCTAACCCCCCCCCTTTCGTTCGGCCCGACGAAAACGTTCTGGGGGTGCCCGGATCGTCCCGAACGGCTAGCGGCGGCCCGAGCTACGGCCCGAGAGCCACCAGGGACCGCGAGAAAAGGGGAACGAGGAAGTAGAGGCAGCCGCGCGCACTGCAGCATCCCAAGATGGGAGGCCCCGCTTGGATCCGACAGAGTCAGTCACCACACCGCCAGACACCCAGAGGGCGCAAGAGCAAGCGCAGCGCGACACTTACACTCCTGGCAGCAAGAGCGCGTTTCTTTATGTTCGGCGACAGTGAGACAATGGGAATTATAAGGGGGGCGGGAGGGGCCAGGGGGGGTGTAATGCAACGCCTCCCCCCCTCCGTGCGCACGGCAGCAGTGCCCGGAGCGCACTGGGGAGGGGAAAGGCGTTACGTTATTGGGGGGGAGGGGGGGGGCCGGGGGCTGTAATGTCCAGTATGCCCCAAGCAAGAAAGAAACACGCTCCAAGAGCAATCGCGACACTTACACGCCTGGCAGCAATCAGGCAGGGCAAAGCCTCACTAGATCGACGAAAGCAGACGGCCCTTGCGCGAGATGGCACAGCGACCTTACGCCCCGGCTCACTGCGCTGGAAACGAGGGCACTTGCGCGCGACCTTACGCGCGAATGCTGGCGCCATCGATCCCGTTTTCTCCTGTCGATCCTTTGGATCTGAGGGGGTCACCACTCCGCTGGACACCCCACCCCCCGGGCTGCAGGGACGTCGTCGCCGTTGTCGTCGGTGGTCGTCGTCGGTGGTCGTCGTCGTCGTCGGTGGTGGTCGTCGTCGTCCGTCGACCAGTGGGGTGCAGCCTGCAAACACGCCGCTGCTGCGCCTGGCCTGACCAGCGCTCGCCTGCACCGCTGCACACCCGCGCCCACGCGGCGCCACGTCGAATTCGACACCTTGGTCGTCCTCGGCGCAACTTATGGAAGCCTCACATGGCATCTTGTCGGCTTTTGCGGATCGACGCAACATCGACGCCAATCGACGCTGAATCGACGCTAACCAACGCTGGATCGGCGCTAGCTCGCCGAATCCCACAGGCTAATCTTCGCTAGTCGACGCCAGGCTTCAATGACTTGCTACCGGAGCAGTCTCCTTGGCCACGAGGGGTCGGCCCGTCAGCACACCCGGCAACCGCGAGGCGGGGCGGCGCCCCGACTGGGTGCTGCTGCGGCGTCGTTTCCAGCGTGCACGTCTGCTTCGGCACGGCGAGGTCTGGTGTTAGATCGGGCATGTCCTCCTACAGGCGGATTTGGGACAAACTTCCCCAGACCATTTTTACTGTGTTTGAATACTCCGCCTGTAGAGGGACATACCAAACGTAAGTCTGGTGCGAGAAAAAGCTGGCCAACTGCTAGCCCTGCTGAGCTGAAGCTGCTCCTCCACCTCAGATGCCGTTTGCTGCCCTGCCAGCTTAGGGAGCACCAGTTTGTCTGTGGATCACTTTCGACAGTCGATGTTTGATTGGACGGTTGTTGCGCTGTGGGAGATAATGCTTAATCTATCCTTGTCCCCCTTCACTCGTCCTTCTTCTAGGAATTATCCTTCCAGGCTCCTCCTCCAACTCCATCCTTTTCCTCAACGTGTTTGTCGTCGTCGTCATCATCCTCCTCATCCTCCTCACCTCCTCCACCGCCCTTCCACCACCACTTCTTCCTCCCCGACCCACCACCAGTCTTCTGACTTCACCCTGGTGTTCTTCCTACTCGACCATCCGTCTCCTTCTCAATCGTCCTCTACATCTCGTCCACACTCCCCTTATCCTCAGATCCCCCCTCCTCCTCTCTCCCCTTTTTCCCTCCCGTCTTCCTCCAGCTGCTTAACTCCCCTCCGACCCTCGTCATTCCTTCTCATTTCCCATGCTCCTCAGCCTCCTCCTCCTGATGATGAGGAGCAGTGGGACAGGACACCTTGGAAGTCTTGTACCTGAACACCATGCACATGTCGTACGGGCGACGCGGGGGCATCTCCAGATTGGTATCCTCAGGCGTGGGCGCGTCCATCTTCCTCTCTCTCCCTCGCCTTCTCAGCTTGTCGTGCTCCTCCACCTTTTTCCTCCTCTTCCTCCTCCTCCTGCTCATGCTCCTCCTCCTCCTCCTCCTCCTCCTCCTCCTCCTCCTCCTCCCCCAACCCTCCCTCTCTCCCTCCGTCTTCTCCCCCTCCACTTGCCTTGAGGGTGTCCCCGTGAGCGCGGAAGAATGAGAACGAGGTACCAGTGGTGAGCGGGTTTTCCCTCCCGGGTGACGGTCGTTACCTGAGGGGGGGGTGGGCAGGAGGGAGGGCAACGGTAACGGCACCCGCCAGGGTGCGTCCGCGCCACTGGCGCATCAATCGCCAGTGTGCACAACAGTCCCTGTGCACACGACAATGCCCAACGCTTGCGTGCATCACAGCGCCACCTGTGTACAATGCCTCCGTACACCATGACAGCCGCGTGCACCGCAACTTATGTAAACCGCAGTGCCCGGGTAGACTGCAGCAATCGTGTGCGCAACAGTGCCTGTGTACACCGCGTTGCCTGCGTGCACCGGATCGCTTGCGTACACCACAGCGCCTGTGTGGACCACAGCAGCGCCATGAGCACCGCAGCGCCATGCCATGAGTACACCACAGCGTACAGTGCCTGTGTACACCACAGCGCCATGAGTACCGCAGCGCCTGTGCACGCCACAGTGCCTCCGTGCACCACGACGCCTGTGCACATTCGTAGCCTGCGAGGCCTCTTTGCGGGCAGGGGCACTCAGAACTCGTCATTCATCTCCTCATCCCTTCTCCTCCACCTCCTCCTGCACCTCCTCCTGCACCTCCTCCTCCTCCTCCTCTTCCTCCTCCTCCTCCTCCTCCTCCTCCTCCTCCTCATCGCCCTCGTCGCAACCACGAGGCACCGCAGCAAAGAGCCCGCCCGACCTTTCCAGGCGAGTCCGGCGCCGCACCAGGTGCTGAGCCTGCGAGCGTCACGGCACGATTGCGAGCACCAAGACATGCCCTTCAGCACCCCTCTATTCCCGTGAGCACAGCGCCAGGCCTGCAGGGGGTCCGCCCCCCTTGCATGTTGGGGGGTTCGGGTCCAGGCGATCCCGCGCGGTACTAACGTCAGCGTTACCGGGGGGGTGGGGGGGCGGGCAACGAGTGTTGCGATGGGGAGGAAAGAAACGCTCTCAAGTGCAGGGCGAAGGAAAGAAGAAGGAGCATGATGATGATGATGTGGTGGTGACGATGCTGATGATGATGATGCTGATGATGATGCTGATGCTGATGCTGATGATGATGATGACGAAGAAGAAGGGGATGTTCATATGATGAGAGAAAAAACCGGCATAACCAAACACATTGGGGGCCCCGCGCGGTTATTTTGGATTCGCGCTGGGCCCTCTCCCTGTCCCGCGGAGCGCGCCAGGGGCGGCGCCGCAGACGCCGACAGGAGAGTCTAGCGCCGATCCAAGAAATCCGCACGGAGCTCCTCCTCCTCCTCCGTCTCCTCCTCCTAACTGTCCTACTCCTCCCCTTCCTCTTCCTCATCCTCCCTCCACCCTCCTCCTCCACCTCCGCCTCCCTCTGCTCCTCCTCCTCCACCTTCTCCTCCTCCTCCTCACTCTCCTCCCTCCTCCTCCTCCTCCCTCCTCTTCGTCCTCCTCCTCCCTCCCCTTCCCTCGGGAAGGGGGGGCGAGGGGTGGGGAAGCACGGGGAGGGGGGGAGGTGGTGGGAGGATGACCGGGATGGGGGGGGGAACGAAGGGTGGGGGAGGATGACGGGGAGGGAGGGGGGCGGGGATGACGGGCAGGAATCAGGCCCAGGAAGAGGCGAAGGACGGGCCACCCGGCTTCTACATCCTCCTCCTCCTCCTCATCCTCTCCCTCCTTCTCCTCCGCCGGTCCCCTCCCGCGCTGGGGTTACCTCTCTTCTCCTCCTCCTCCTCCTCCTCCTCCTCCTCCTCCTCCTCCTCCTCCTCCTCCTCCTCCTACTACTACCCTCATCATCGTCGTCATCATCCCTCTCCGGCTCCTGACCCTCCATCCTCAGCCTCCTCCCATCCCCCCCCTCCCATTCCCTTCCCTCTCAACGACTGCAACCGCCCCCTTAGTTGTTCTGATGGACGCCTCGTCTTGACAGCTGGGTTCAGGCACCCTCGAAGCCTATAGCGTACTTGGAAATTCACCCGTATCGTCCTCATCTTTACCCTTCGCCTGTTCCTCTTCCTGCTCATCCTCCTCCTCCTCCTCCTCCTCCTCCAGCTCATCCTCCTCGCCTCATTCCCAATCCTTCGCCTCCGCGCACTTCGCTTCCTCCTCCTCCTGCTCCTCCCTCTCCTCCTCCTGATCTCCATCACCACTGCCGAACTCAACATATTCGGCGTCATGGTGATCATCAACAACATCACCAGCACCATCGTCATCGCCATCAGCATCTTCATCATCATCATGATCAGCATCACCATCATCATCATCATCATCAGCAACATCATCAGCAGCATCACCATTATCAGCATCATAACCATCATCGTCAGCATCAGCATCAACATTATCATCAAAATTATCATCAATACAATCAGCATCAGCATCATGCGTATCGTGATCGCCATCAACATCAACAGCACCACCATCCTCATCATCACCATCAACATGACCATGACCATGACCATGACCATTACCGTTACCATCACCATCATCATCAGCAGCATCATCATCGTCCGCATCGGCATTGCCATTGGCATCAGCATCATGAAGACTCTCATCACAGTCGTCAGCCGATTCATCACCATCACCATCGTCATCGTCATCATCATTGTCACCATCGTATCATCATCAGCAGCAGCATCGTGATCATCCTCATCATCGCCACCAGTACCATCAATCTAATCATCATTATCCTCATCATCACAATCCTCATCAATTTCATCATCATCATCACCATCATCGTCATCATCATCGTCACCATCAACATTATCAGCATCGTCACCACCATCAGCATCATCAGCACCATCAATATCATCCGTATGATCAGTATCATCAGTATCATCCGCGTCACCATCATCATCAGCAGTACCACCATTATCATCATCATCATCATCATCATCATCATCATCATCATCATCATCATCATCAACACCACAATCGTCATCACCATCAGCATCGTCGTCTGCGGCGCCCTCAGCATCATCATCAGCTCCAGCAGCATCATCACAATCATCAACATAAACATCATCATCATCACCACCATCATCATAATCACCATCACCAAAAAAAAATCACCACCAGCATAATCATTAGCATGACCCCATTTGTCCTGCTCTTCCTCCTGCTCCTCCTCATGGGGTCGATAACTGGAAAGTCGCAGGGACCATCAGACCCGGGCGCCGCGACAGGCGCACAGAAAGACGATAGACTCCCCTGCCACACCTCGGGCAACGAGGCATATTTCCCACCGCATACACGCCACTGTAGCTCCCATGAGTGAGTCGGTCGCCAAAGTTCGCTGGACATTCAAACGTCGTAGCTCATTGACGCCGACATGGAGGTGCCAAGCAAATCTTACGTCCCCCCGCTATGGAGGAGGAGGAGGAGGAGGATAAGGAGGAGGAGCAGCGAGGAGCAGCGAGGGGACGAGGAAGAAGACCGACACGAAACCGGCGTGGGTGGTCGCGCGAAGCCTCTGATTGCCTTGTTTCGCCGATGCGTGTTGAAGATTTTCCTCATGGAAGATCGGATCTCCCGGGCTTCGCGCGGAAAGCACCCTGAGGTAGCCACCGCTGGGATCAGCGGGATCACCGAGCAGCCAGCGGTGATCTGACCACCCCGGCGCCTCCTCCTCCTCCTCCTCCACCTCCTCCTCCTCCTCCTCCTCCACCTTCTCCTCCTCCTCCTCCTCCTCCTCCTCCTCTTCCTCCTCCTCCTCCTCCTCCTCCTCTTCCTCCCCCTCCTCCTCTCCCCTACCCCTCCTCCTCCTTCGCCTCCTCCTCCTCCGGCTGCGCACCTCCAGCGCTCCGCGCTCCACGTTCGGGGTGTCGAGACCGCCCGGGGCCGCCTGGTGGGCCTGGTGAGGCCAGCCCGGGGACCACTGCCACCTCCAGAGGCCGTCGGTGCGCATCCCAGGCCTTGCCCACAATGAAGGGGAACTGGGACACACAAATAAATACACACAAATAAAAATATCCCCATATTTTTCCGTATTTTCTGGGTTTTCGTCTTCCCCCCCACTTCCCATATTTTCCCATTTTTTCTGGGAATCGCCGATTAATTGTGTCTGTGTGTTTTTTCCCCTCCTGACACAAGGGCTCCGACGTCCGACGGCATGCAGGATCACAGCGTCTTGCGTCTTGAGAGGCCACGGCGGGGGAGCACTCGACCTCCCCCCTGTCTGCGGCAGTCCCTCGAGCCGGGTCGGTCCGCGAGGCCCCTGGAGCCCGGAGCTGGGCGACACTGCCGGCCGCGAAGTGTGCCACGAAACCCAGACCTGTTGGGGGACCAGGGGGCAGGGACGAAATCGCAGCTCGATTCAAAAAAACTCACCCGTGCGAGAAGGTGGCGCCGAATGCGCCAGGCGCGCGCGCGCGCGCGCGCGCCCGCGAGGGCGCGCCAGTCGCGCCGCGTGCCTCCGCGCGCCATTACTAGTGGGCCCCGCTTGCTTGTCTACGACGGGTTTGACAGCGCCTCCGCTGGGGAGCTGCTCTTGCCGCCAATGAAGCCCAATCAAGGAACTGGAACGTCTTGCTGGTCAGCACGACACCGCCTGTCGCCGACGAGACCTAGTCGAAGAACGGCCACGCCTTGCCAGTCAGCACAGCTGCGGTAGCGATGCCTCCGAAGGCCAGCATCGCCAGACGGCCGTTCTCCAGCTCCTTCAGCTTCATACTCTTCTCGCCTTCCACGTCCTTGGGCAGGAAGCCCTTGCCGAGGAAGTAGTCGCCAGCGGAGCGATCGATCTCACCACCCCAGCCCTCGAGGATCAGGTAGAGGCTGTAGATCTCCGCGATGAAGATTGCCCCGAGGAAGGGCTGCATCTGGCCCTCATCGACCAACTTGTTGTGCGCCTCGATGGTGGACACCTGGTACACGTCGCCCGGGAAGCGGGCGCCCAGGTCGGTTGCGATCCAGCCGAGGGTGGCAAGCATGCAGACGCGGCCGTGCTTCAGCTCAGCCTCGCGCACCCAATACACCGGCAGAGCGTCCGTGACGCCCAGCGGGTCAAATCCCTTCTCGCCACCGACCCAGCCCTTGAGATGCTTGGGCATGGCCAGGAAAGGCATGGACGGGGACATCTCGAGCTCCTTGTCGGGGTCCGGGAAGCCCCAGTCGTCGTCCCACTCCTGGCCGGGCGCTGGCGGGTAGCGGCCGTTCTGGAACGGCTTGTAGCACTCGGAGTAGCCGGAGCGCATGATGGTGCGCGCCGCGCGCTCCTTGGTGGCGCAGTAGGTGTAGCCGCTGCACATGCCGATGTCCTTGATGATGAAATCCACCGGAGGGCCGTAGAAGCCGCCCTTGTTGATCAACTGGAGCGGGGTCACCCCGAAGGTGTAGTCCTGGATCATGAGGCCCATGATGGCGATCATCGCCAGGCGGCCGTTGTTGCGCTCCACCGTCTGGCGCCGCGCCTTCTCAAACTCTGGGTTCCCATCGAAGACCTCCGTGCCGAAGCCGTAGTCCGCGCCGTTGACCGCACCCACGCGCGTGCCGGGCTTCAGGAGCAGCTCGTGCGCGCCGATGAGGGCCACGAGCTGGAGCCACCCCTCGAGCGGGATGGTGGTCAACGCAGCGAGGCCGTGCCCGAAGTCCTCGCAGCCGGGGAAGCGGAAGATCTCCGGCATGACGTACCCAATGCACGCGATCATGGCGATACGGCCGTGCTTGATCTCAACCTGGGTGTAGCGCTCCTGGGGAAACTAGGGGAACGAAGAATGACATAAACATAACAACTCGGAGGTCCGCGCGGATTTCTCGGATCGGCGCTGGACCCCCCCCCCCCTGGCGCCTCCAGCGCCGCTCCCAGCGCGCTCCGCGCGCCAGGGAATGGGGTCCAGCGCCGATCCGAGCAATCCGCGCGGACCTCCGAGTTGTTATGTTCATGTCAGTCGTCGCTCCCCTACAGAAGCCACAGAAGGTACCGAATCCGCTACTCCCTGGACCCCTCCAGGGGTGCGTTCTGGCCAGAATTCCGATTCCGAAGCGGATCCAGCAGTGGCGACGAGGGCCCCCCACGGAGGGCCCAAACGGAGAACACGAGGCGAGGGTTCTGGTATGGTTACCTTTTCCTCCTCCGTGCTCCATCTTCATGTCGGTGCTGCCGAGGTTGAGGGGGTCCTAACCAGCCACGCACTTATCCCTACACATAGGTCTGAGAAGCCTAATTGCCGTGGCAATCTTGGGGATGCACCCTCAGAAACCGAGGGATTCCTTGAGATCAGCATCCAAATAAGGTAATCACAATTATAGGGATAGGGATCTGCTCCAGGCTGGTAAGGGGCGCGCGCAAGGGGGTAGAGGGTGGGGTGAGGGCTTATTAGAAGGAAACCGCTTCTCGGAAAGCGCTGGCAATGCATCTCCAGATAAGGCCCGCGCCGTCTAAGAAGCAGGAATGTTTCTAAGATGTTTCCCCCCCCCCCCTGCAGAGAACACTTATCGTGTTGGGAGGAAGGGGTTCGGAGGATGAGTGGCATGAGCAACAACATCCAAATGCAATGATCGACACCTTCGGCCGCCTACGGGCAAGCAGATCCTCGTTTATCTCACAGCCCCATCCTCCCAACCCGAGAATGGTCATCCTGACCTCCCCCCACGCCCCCCTGCGTGCGGCTGGGGTCCCACTTGTCGGTGATCGGGAACGCGATGCCGACCTCCCCGGAGGCGTACGACGCCCAGGAGGAGCCCTCCTTCGCCCCGACGCCGTCGCTCACGCGGCTGGGCGCGGCCTTCCACAGCGAGCCGTCCGCGCCCTCGGCCGTCGGGTCTCCCTGGGAGGGGGACGAACGCTGGCACAAACATACCGTCTGCGGATTCATCGGATTCCTCGGATCGCCGATGGGCCCCCCTCCCACGCGCGTCCGAGCTTTCATGCTCGGCCACATGCACGGAGTGGCCCTGGGCAAGAGTGACCTTTGGTGCGCGGCTTTGGGGGGGCCGCGGGGGGCCAACCCCAAGCGCGCAAGACGCTACTGCCGCATCGCGCTTGGCGATCATGAGCCCCCCCCCTGGCCCGCACCGGAGGTCCCTGCGGCGAAAGGTCACTCTTGCGTGCAGTCGGGGAGTAGGAAGGGGAGGAGAAGGAGAAGGAGAAGGAGAAGGAGAAGGAGGAGGAGCAGGAGGAGGAGGAGGAGGAGGAGGAGGAGGAGGAGGTGGAGCTCACTCCTGCGGGCTTGTCGGCAAGATCCCTCGACTGCCCGCAGCCATCCCCCCGGGCCTCTCTGCAGGACGCCGAGCTCTGTGGGCCTCCGCCGCGCCTGGCCTCGGCCCCTCCTGGGGCCGGGAGCGGCGCGGGCGCCCCCCCCCCCCCGCAGCGGCGCTTGGCCCGGGAGGCGCTGGCACCGCTCCCGGGCCCAGGACGAGCCGCGGCCCGGGGCGGCGGCTCTCTGCTCGGGCTCTCCGAGGCAGCGCGACCTCCACAGATCCATCCCCCCCTCGCCCTGGGGGCGTCTGCTGCCTCCCATCGCGCTGGAGGACCACATCCCAGAAAGAGTTCCGAGCACCCAGGAGAGGATCGGAGACAGTGTCGAGCGAGTATATAGCCTCCCAGGGACCGACACGTGAAACCCCTCTGGTTTCGGTGCTTTTTTGGTGCTCGAATGTTTTCTGGCGATCAAAGCTAAAGTAGGTTGGAACATCATAACAGGAGGCCTCCCAGATAGGGATCGAGCAGATGTGGTCGGAGGATCGCGCCGCATCGCCGATGCATCGGCGATGCCTTCGCGATGCATCACCGATGCATCCGTGACGTCGGCGACGCATCGGTGCCGCTGGAAAAGAGAAGGTCGGGCTCTACATCGAGTCGCATCGCCGATGCACCAATCCTTCCACACCATCTACTCCGACCCCATCTGGGTCGCCCAGCCTCTCGTGCCCCACCCCGACGCCTTTCTGCGCCTCTCTCCTTTGGCCCCCAGGAGGAGGTTGGAGGAGGAGGTTGTAGGAGCAGGATGAGGATGAGGATGAGGAGGAGCAGGAGGAGGAGAAGGAGGAGGAGCAGGAGAAGGATGAGGCCCCGACCTGGAGCCGGTCCGTCGTCGTGACGGTGGTTCCCTGCGCTGCCACCCTGGCCTTCTGGGCCCGCGGTCGGCCGGCTGCCCTGAGGGCCCAGAGGGGGGCCCAGGACTCGAGCCGGGGATTAACACACAGAACAACCGCCTGGAGGGTCGATTCTCGCGGACCTCCACGGGCGGTGGATATTAACAGATGCATACATAAACATACAGGTGTATACTTGTCCAAGTGTATATATATACGGTTTTACATATTTGCATATATATAGACATATATATATATATATACGTCTGTGCACACCTATATATACACATGTGTATATGTGTATATGTGTATATGCATAGGTGTGTATATATATATATATATATATACATGGACCTGTGTGTATGTGTATCTTTGTAACTACACAAGTATAGAGAGCCCTATTCATGCAATGAGTACCCACGTGCATAGAAACTGACCTGGCACAACTCTGGGCCCGGCCAAGGAGCCTGCTTCTGGATCGCCCCGGAGGGCCCAAGACGGCCCCCGATGGCCGCAAGACAGCCCTGGGGAGGTCCCCAGGCGGCCTCAGGAGGGCCCAGACGGCCACGATGGGCCCAAGGAGGCCCAAGAAGGGCACTCCACGGTCCAACGGGCCCCCCCAGATGGGCCAAGGGGACCCGAAGGCGACTCCCAAGGGGCCTCCGGGAGACACAAGCATTCTCGGTTTCCCTTCGGTATCGTGCAATCTTCGTATGCTCGGCTTCTCGGTCTCTAGAGCGCCCGAAACCGCCGAAGAGGCCCCCGGAAATCGCTCCAATACTGCCCTCCGAGGGCCCCAAGACGAGCCCAGGACGGCCCAAGAGGGGCCCAAGACGGCCCGAATGCGCTCCAAGAAAGCCCCCGGAGGGGCTCCAGAACGCCTAAGACCCAAGACAGCCCAATTGGGCCCCCAGTTCGCCCTAGAACAGCTCTAAGCGGTCCCCAAGATCGCCCCGAGGGACCAAGGTGGCCCCAAAGAGCCCCCGGACGGCCCAAGAAGCCCACAAGACGGCGTGAAAACAGCCTTCAGAGACCCCGAAGAGGGCATAGTCGGGGCCCTGCATTAGTTTGGCGACGGTCACAACAGATGCATATAACATATGTTTGTACGCGTATGCGTATACATACATACATAAATACATACATACATACATACATACATACATACATACATACATACATACATATATATATATATATGCAGATGTACACACATGCACACAGTTACACATGCAGATATACATACATACAAACGTACATACATACATATATACATACATACGTACATACATACATGCATACATACATACATACATACATACATACATACACATACACACACATACAAACATCCATCCATACATACATACATACATACATGTATACATACATACATGAGTATATACATATATACATACATACATACATACATACATACATACAAACATACATACATACATACATACATACATACATACACCTACATACATACATACATACATACATACATGCATACTTGCATGCATGCATGCATGCATGCATACATACATACATGCATGCACACATGCAGGTCATATATAAGTATATATACACAAACATGTACATACATCGATACGTATAGCCATAAAAATACGGATGCTGAAGATGATGTGCATGAATTGTAGCATTACGAGTAATGATGCTTGCATGAATGCTCGGAACAACAGTAAGAGTAATACCAATATCAGTACTCATACCACTACCACTCATACTAATAACGCGTAGTATTACTGCACTTGAAGTGCTTACACTACCAATACTACTAACAGCACCGTTACTACAAACAATATTACTACTACCGATAATCGCGATGGTACTAACAAGAATATTAAACACATACGAGTAATACGAATACGAATGCCATTAACAATAAGATCACCAATTATATAACTAAGGATGAAGAAGACACAAATGTATCGAATGGCCCCGGGGACGAACCGCTGCCCTGATCCACTACCCGCTTGGGCACCAGGACGTCGGCTCCAAGGCGGTGGCTGTGGATCGATCCCCGCCTCGCACGGGAGCCGGGGCCCTCCAGACGAGGGCCCTTTGCGGTGGACCGGAGCCCTGGCGCGCCCGAGCAGGCTGCAGCCGTGGCCCGAAGCATTCTCCATTCTGCACCATCCCTGGGCGGTCTGGGCTCCTGGAGGCCCCCAGAAGTGGGCCTCCTCCTCCTCCTCGTCCTCCTCCTCCTCCTCGTCCTCCTCCTCCTCGTCCTCGTCCTCCTCCTCCTCGTCCTCCTACTCCTCATCATAATCGTCATCATAATCGTCAGCATCATCATCATCAGCATCATCATCATCAGCATCATCATCATCACATTCATCATCATCATCATCATCATCATCATCATCATCATCATCATCATCATCATCATCATCATCACATTCAGCATCATCGTCAGCAGCATCATCAGCATCAACATGAGCATCAGCATCATCAGCATCATCATCAGCATCAGCATCAGCATCAGCATCAGCATCAGCATCAGCATCAGCATCATCATCATCATCATCATCATCGTCATCATCATCATCATCATCATCGTCATCATCGTCATCATCGCCATCATCGTCATCATCGTCATCATCGGCATCGGCATCGTCATCGTCATGGCCATCAGCATCGCCATTGCCACCACCAGCACCTTTTTACCACCACCCTGCCCATCATCCTGCCTCCTGGCACCTTGCTCCTCCTCCTCCTCCTCCTCCTCCTCCTCCTCCTCCTCCTCCTCCTCCTCCACTGGCACCATCATCGCCCCCGACCCAACGAGCGACGGGACGCGGCGACACGCTTACCCTGCGGACGCGGGGCAGCTCCCAATGCGGGCCCCCAGGGCGGGCGGCCCGACCGCGGGCTCTTGGCGGCCCCGCGCGCGCGCGCCGCGCCCGCGGCCAGGACCCCCGCCGCCGCGGCGGCGGCGCCCGCCGCCGCGGTGAGCGGCGCGGCGCCCGCCTCGGGCGGGCTGCTGCGGCGGCGGCGCCCGCGGCGGGCGGCTGCGGCGCCCCGCCGCGCAGGCCGGCGGCGCCGCCGGGGGCGAAGGCCGCCGCGCCCGCGCCGAGGGAGGCGAGGCTCTGGGGGGGCGTCGGGGGCACACAGTCGAGGCGTTGACCTAAGGAACCCTGAATAAGGAACGAGGCCTCTCGTTCCCATGAGTTAAGCTTTGACTTCCCATGGAAAACGGAAGGAAAACCCAAGGCAAACTGTGCAACTATCAAGGAACACCGAGCCCCTCCCCAACGAAAAGGGTTTCTTCTTCAGCGCCCCGACTGTACGCGGGCGACTTCGGAAGCCCCGATCCCAGGAGCTCTTTCTCTCCCTCGGGGGCGACTTCCGTTCGTGCTGCCGCCGCCTCCCGCCGGCCCTCCGCCGGAGGAGGCGGCCCCGCTCTACGTCCGGCGGCCTGCCGCCGCGGAGGACATGGGAAGGCCTCCGATGCCCGAAGGCGAGGCCGTCTTTGGAACGACGCACATGCGTTGGGGCTGCGGGAAGATGGCTCTTGACGGCTCTTGGAGCAAGAACGCGTGAGCATCCAGCTGGCTTCGTTCCCTGACCTCACCCATGAGCAGGGGAAATAATCGGGTCTTAGGCAAGACGACCAAGCGACCTTGCGCCGCGGCTTACGCGGGCCGCCAGCGTGGCACACCGCGTGGAGAACTGGGCACTCACTTGCGACCTGACGCGGGCAACTTACACGCGAATGTCCGCGCAGTCCAAGCCTTTTTCCTGCGTCGCTCACCTTGGGGTAACCAATTTCGGTGGCAGCTCATGGGAGCCTCTCTTACCATCTTGTGAATCGGCGCCAATCGACGCTAATCGACGCCCATCGATGCTGAATCAGCGCTGATCGGCGCAAAACACAGCGTTTTCTCCTCGACCACCAGACGCCAATCGACGCTAGTGCACTCTAAAGACGGAAGTGCGAGAGCACATCAAGCTTGCACGATTTGCTGCTGAGCCCCGCACCACTCCCCTACGACCCCCCGAGATGAGGGCGCGCGAGAGCACGGCCATGGCCGCGGCTGGGAAAAGCAAAAGGCACCGATGCCGCTGCGCCCCGGGGGCAGCGCTCCGAGCAGGACTTCGAGGCGAACCCAGCGGTGGCGACGAGGGCCTCCCGGGAGGCCCAAGGAGGCGAACGCGAGGTGCGGGCAGCGGTATGGGGGACCTTTTCCTCCGCTTAGGCGGCGGGGGAGGCGGGCTCCGAGGGCCTCGGCGGTGAGGTCGGGGCGTCCCTGCGGGCGGCGCTCCCGGGGCCACAGAAAGGGCTGCGCGCGACAGCCTCCCGCGTGCGCGCCGCGACGACGACGACGACGACGAGCGACGACGACGACGACGACGACGACGACGAGCGACGACGAACGACTAACGACGACGACAAAACGACGGCAAACAGACGACACAACGACGACAAAACGACGATGAGGAACACGACGACGACGACGACGACGACGACGAGGACGACGACGACGACGACGACGAGCGACGAGCGACGAGCGACGAGCGACGACGCCGACGACAACGAACGACGGCGACGACGCTGCGCGCGGCGGAGCGGGGGGCCAGCTCGCCCGAGGGAGGCACCGGGAGGCGGTGGAGGAGGGGGGCGACGATCGAGGAGGGCTCGGGGGAGGACACGACAGGGGATATGTCGACCCCTATCCCAGGCTTCGTGGTGTTCTGGAGTGGACCAGAAATGTGGGGCCCGACCCTGGGATACAACATGGAAGGACGTCCATCCTCGATAGGAGTGCATCCGAAGAGCCCCCTTGGGGTGTACCCCAGGGTTCCCCCCCTTGTATAAGCGGCCAGTTTTTTCGGGTGGAACTCGGGGATTGGGGGAGAAAAATCGCCTGCGAGGACACACTGAGGGGCCCAGGGTCTTAAGTGGGCCCTGGAAGAGACAGGGCCGTTTCTGTTGCCGGTTCCGTTTTGCCGCTTTTGTTGCCGGTTCTGTTTTGCCGTGTTTGTTACCGCTTCCGTCGCCGTGTTGTTACCGATTCCGGCTCTGCTTCCAATCCTGGAGCCGTTTTTTTGCCGTTTGAGGTCGCCGTATGTTTGCCGCTTCCAGGTTCAAGAGATACGTTTTTTTCGGAGACGGT